TAGTTATATTGTTGTGCGTGCCCACGTGGTAAAAGAATAAAACTTAATAAAAAAAAGGAAACACTCACTTTTCAATAAAAATGTAGAATATATAATGTGATTGAACAGTAAATAATACAATACAACGTTAATTATTAACCACCATATATTCTATACTCTACTCAATATAAAATAATATCAAGGGGTTCTTAACAATATATTATTTTCTCTGTTGCTTAATATTAATTATTGAGAATTTTTTTTTTTTATTAAAATCTTATTATACAGGGTGTTCAGTAAGTTAGGAAACAGTTAAATTGTTACAAACAATAATTACAATAGAAATTCGTTTCCTTGTATAATAGAACAAGGAAAAAAACGTTTTTCTGGAAAAATTACTTAGCGTACTCGGATTTTCAAAATTTTACTGAAAATAATTAATGCGCAATATGATAAGACTTTGATGTACAATTGTTCGCGCCGCAGAATAGGGCGACACTGTGGAAGGCTATCACATTTTTCATGTTGTCCTTTTGTGATAAGAGACTGATACCTTTTTTTTTATGGTTATGAATCTACATGTGTCTAGAAGAAATATGTTCTTCTGAATAATCCTTTTATGTGGATTTTTTGTTCTAAGCCAATTGTGGGCTACTCAGATACATGTGTCTAGAAGAAATATGTTCTTCTGAATAATCCCGTTGTGTGGATTTTGTTCTCGGCCAATTGTGGTTGCTCATTTATGTCGGAATGTGTGTGCCTCACAGCAACATCATCTCAAGTAAAAATTGCTAAATTAAATAAAAGAAGTCAAACCATAAATGTGTTCCTCAGCCACTTATGTATAAGTATTTATTGATGTAAATAACTTGTTCTTTTCTATTGGCAAGTTATAATAATATATTATATCTATATCTATATTTATATACATTTATAATTTTGGTGAATTGAGGTTTAAGTCATTTAATATATTCCTTGAGAAATTAAATATAAATGTTGTTAAATGTTTACTAACTGTTAAGATTATGTATAGTTTAATGTTATAATATATTTTTTTATTAATATTCATCTGTCATTATAGGAAAAATTGTTTCTGTTCTTTTACCAGTTAAGGCCTTGTGAGCCCAGTAGCCCTTTCAACAATATTCAAATAAAAAGTAGCTTAACCAACTTTTTCCATACAAACAATTAAAATCATTAATTTCTAATATTCTTAAAGTATTTATTGTCGAATTAGATATGATATGATAAAAGTATTTAACTACAAGAGTAAATAACTTTACTTTGTAATTTATTAATTTTTTAACTCTATTTATGTGTGCTACTACTAGTCTATAATATTCCAATATTTTTTGTAACATGTGCTATATAAAACATAAATTTAAAAAAAAAATGATTTTTAGTTTCACCTGATTTTAACGTTGGTTTTTTCAATTATAATCAAATTTTATAATACGCTCAATTGAGTAAATCTTTTTAACAACTTTTTTTTTATTGGTTCATTTAGTTAAAGTAAATCATTAAAATTAATTGAGTTGTTCGGGTGAACGCTCAAGTTGGTCATACTGATAGTGCATTATCTGGTGATAACACTTTAGTCATCGGACGCTTGGCCGTTACAGTTTAGAATTCACTCTCTATCGATAGTTTTTAATTTTCACCATTTTTGTTTGTTTAACGGTTTGTTTTTTTTCCCTCTCGCTCTCGTTGTTATACTATTGCTTTTCGCTTAACCTAAAACATTATATTTTTTGTTTTACTACTAAAATCGTTCATCTGGTGTTACTTCGTACGCACGTTTTTGTTAGCCTATTTGAACCGGCAGCGTAATACCAAACCAGATTTGTATAATATCAATTGGTAATAATTTCAATAGTTTATTTATTATATGTTATTATATACCTTGTGGTTCGCACATTAGCTCACATTACCAATCGGGGACATTGTCATTTGTATTAAACCCTTTAGATATATTAACTCTATTCTGGATTGTTACAATACAATTATTCTATTAAAACACAATCAGCAGACGGTTAAAGTGCGAGTCCCTTGGTACAATAGTCCAGTACTATTAAATTTAGAATTCAATTAAGTCAAAGTGTAGTTAAGTTTCTAGGAATTTACGTTACTATTATTTCTTTATGTTATTCATGTTGGAGTATAAAGCACTTCCAGTACATAAGCCCACATAAGTTAAAGAGATTAAATAGTTTAGTTGCTCATTTTATTAGTGTATATTAATTAACTATTTATTGTTTAATGAAATTAGTCGTTTGTCATTGCACGATTAAGATTAACTTTGTCCTTTGGTTATTGAACTCTAATGTTTGTCTATTTGTTTATTAACTCATAATTTGATAATAATTGTTTTTTTTTCATATATTTGATTCAACTACTTCTCTTGAACAAGTTTATTACTTATCCCTATCTTCATTTTGTTAACGTTCATAACAATTATACTTGTGTTTTGTCCAATACCTGCTAATTACTTAATTTAATTTGTTAATATAATTAGACAAAATAATTGAATTTGAGTCTGTATTAAACATCACTTTTTGTACTTTGCTCATTGCAATAAATTTACTGATTTCATTGAATCATGTCGCACTGAATACTCACATTTCCCTTTACCTCTTGAGCACATATACAGTCCACTATCACAAATCATGTATTATAAATAACTAACTGAACACATATTACAGGTAAGGTAGTTAGAGCATTGGAGTTAATTGGCTTACTCATGGTACAAATTTTATTTACTTTTACTTCCATAATACTTGATGTTATAATTTTTATTTAGCTTAATTGTTCCTATTCCTCCCTATCCCTCCACTCCACGCACCTTCCTATACAAATAAATCAGATAGTCATACTTAGAAAATCAACTGACTAACCGGCTTTTCTCTTGTCGCCTTCGTAAGAATAGGAGTTCGTTCACTGTTCAGTCCTGTTCCGAACATAAGTTCTGAATATTTCAATTGCAGAATCTTTTTAAACACCAAAAATTAATTAGAAATGATTACTATGATTTTTATTTAAGTGATCTATTACGATAAAAATGTAAAAAAAACCCAGCACAGGGGGGTCGCGGCACAGTGGTCACGTGGCATAGATGGATCAAGTATAATGATATCTGACAGTGATTAAAATCACTATAAAAAAATATATTACACTTATAAATCATAAAACTTGTAATCAGGATATAAATAAGAAAATAGGTGATCATGTAGCTTTTGGAATAATCCATACATTTTTTAAAATTAATTACTATCTACAGATTTGCATCGAAGCGTTTTTATGATAGTAATTTTAATCACTGTCAGACATCATTATACTTGACCCAACTGTGCCACATCCCTACTGTGCTGGTTTTTTTTTATTTATCAATCCAAAAATTGGTTTTTTATAAATTTTTTTTGGAAAAGTTTACTTGGATAATTTCTTTGTTATATTTATAACTGGTATGTTTTTTTGTAGCATACTAAAGTTTGGGTCTTGGTTGAATTTATTATCAGATTATATTCTTTAAATGTGACATTCATTATATATAATGCTGCTTGCAAGTCTTTCTCGAATGTAGCGAGAATGACTGTATTATAAACAAAACGAAATATTTGTATTAGTAGCCCTCCTATTTTCACTCAAATTACTTTTTGATCTTACCAAAGCTTTTTGACATTTTTTGCTTTTTAATAAATAAATTGAACAATGTAGGTGAAAGTGGATAGCCTTGACTTTCATCTTTTTGAATTCTGACAGTCGTTATTGTTGAATTAATATTGATGTTGGTTTCTTGCTCTTCATAAATCTTATATAGAATACGTCTGTCTTTAAAATTGATCTGTGTTTATTTTAAACTTTAAAGAGACTTATTTAACTTGTGTCGAACGCTTTTTCTAGGAACAAACATGCCATTTAAATCATTTTTTTTTTTAATTTTCTTTTCAATTATTAATCTCAGACCTATAATAGTATCTTTGGATCTTTTGTTCTTCTGGAAACCATATTGATCATAGTTTAGCTCTATTTGATATTTTATCATTTACGTGCGTGTATTGTAACTTTTTTCATTGAAGTATCGTTTGATCAGTTTATATGCCTTGTCCTGTTGATTTTATTTCATCATATATTGTCTACTTCTTCTTAATTCTTTTAGTTCCACATCTCTTTGGCTTTTTTCGATTCACAGTTTATTTTATTTATTAACGTCTTATACTTGTATAGTCTTTTACTTTTTGCATCTATTTTGTTATTAGGCAATCTTCTTCTCTCTATATCTCGAATTATTTCCATTTTTATCTATTCGCATATTGATGCTGGGGTCTCCATAATTAATATTTCTTTTGCTGCTTCCCACTATCAGGCATATTCTAGCCCTCACCCACAGGGGAAATTAAATTATTAGAATATAATAAAATTAATGATCATTAATCATGATTAAAGGAAAATAATATTCTGTAATTAAGATAGTATTTTACAAAAACAAAAAAATTCTTTTAAATTACCTATATACTACATAAAAATTTTTCAATACAAAATCTAAGTACTATTATGTTGTGTGTGGTGTATAACAACTGATTAGCCGTTAATAGTGATATCCACTACTACGTGGGTAATTGGTCCGCGTTTAAAGAGTAAATTAGTTTAGTACGAGTGCATACTCACTACATACGCGGTATCAATGCAGTGGTCAAGTGTGTGTGTGCTGAGCACATAAATAGTTAAATTGTATTAACACCAAGTAAATTTTTTCTATAGAATCTCCCAGGAAAATGTTGAACTGTCCTTAATATAAGTTATAATTATTTACACTTCTATAAAACATTTTTAACTGCAATGATCAGTAGAATTGACTGCTTAAAATTCGAGATTTGAAATTTAGACACAAAAAATTATCTCTTTTCAACAAAACCTTAAGTTTATAGAATAAAAATTTTGTTAATTTAAAAAATGTAAAAAAAGAATAAACCTCAAATTATAAAAAATATCTGATTTTTTTATAGTAAACAATTTTTTTTTACTTTTAGTTCAAGGTCTCTTATAACTGTAAGTGGACTTCCTTTTGTCAACACTCCACCCAAAAAAAGTTGACATATAAGTTGAGGATTTTTTGTATCAGTTATATTATATTGTCTGATATCTCCATGTAACCAATTGGAAAAATACAGATATTTATCATCCAATGAAATTAAAATATCAGTGATCATACCTAGAATATTTAAAAAATAACTTACTTAACTCCTAACTACGTCTCATGCAATAAATTTAACAATTTAAAATAGAATAATATTTTTTTATACAAGTGTTATACTTTTCTATAAAAAATAAACAACATCAAAGAATATATAAAATATACATTGATAAAAATTTACTTAGTCAATAAGAATAAGAAAGTAATTAAAAAATTAGTAAGACATTTTTATGTGGTAAATCAGTGTCAAAATCATTGGATATTACTCTGTTAACCTTTTTCTAAACTTAATAATAATTAAACATTGCTTTTTCACAATATTAAAATGTATATGACATATACTATATGTATTTAAAGTTTTAATTATTTAAATTAAAAATAAATTTACCGACAGTTAGACACCAAAAAATATACTTTATGGTCACAGAACCGTCGAAGAACAAAGAAATTTGTTTTTTTGTCGTCTAGTTTTGACGATCGGGTAAAAAGCGTTGGACGCGTTGATAAAAGCGTTGGACGCTCAATATGCGAAAAATATTGCACAAAGCACCCACTACTATATTTATTTTTTACTTTTTAGTTTCATGTTATGATTGTAGTTACTATCAATATCATGATTGTAACGGGTAACGGGAAATCAGGGTTCGATTCCGGAGAGGGAGTCAGAGAAACGGCTACCACATCCAAGGAAAGCAGCAGGCGCGCAAATTACTCACTTCCGGAACGTGTAGGTAGTGACGAAAAATGACGATACGGAAATCATCCCTCGTAATCGGAATGAATACTTTATATCTCTTAATTAGAATAAAGCGTGTTAATATATAAATTTTAATAGTAATTAGAATATATATATATACATGTAAAGCGACTTAAGTACGTAAACGTATCATGCACTAGGTACAGTCGTGTTTTGTGGGTAGGCGGGTCGGACTAACGTTATACCTGAGGTATAAACGGCGGTAGGAATATATACGTAAACCGTATTTGTTACAAACAATGAGAACAATAGAAACCCGTTTCCTGACTTACTGAACACCCTGTATACGTAAACCGTATTCACGCGGATGATAATGGTCAATCAAAATAAAAATTTGTTCATATATATATATATATATATAATATTGATGACACGCACGTGTGTACGGGTACGATAACCAAAAATAAATTTATACAGGAATAGTATTGCCGGCGTGGGGTGGGGAGAACGCGTTATGACAGTCTAGTCTCAAGGCCATAGACGACGGAATATGCGATAACGCGTGGCGCTTGGAGAGTTACAAACATACATACAGNTGATAACGCGTGGTGCTTGGAGAGTTACAAACATACATACATACATACAGGTGAAACTAATATAAGCGTGTTAAAAATACCTGGGTTATTCACATGCTCAGGATGAAAACCTGTTTTAAAAAATTTTGGTGTTCCCCATTCTGATGATACTAAGATATCCCAATAAGGTTGGTACCAAAAGTCATAACCAAATTTTGCTGTTTTTCCTATAGTCCAAGTTTCTATAATTAAAACAATCACATATAAATATACAAATTTACGAAACATGCAATATTATTTTTACCTTTAACAACACCTTCATTAGCATCAATTAATAAAAAATCACCTTTCTCGTTTCCTTCAGCATCTCCCATAGTTGAAATCATAACAGAACCATTAGGAAGACAATGAGTTGTATGCAAAGAAGATACATTTAGAGCATGTACTTCCTCTGGTTCAATTGTCTGTAAATTAAAATCATTTTAGATGATATATATTATGGGCTTCACATAAAAATCATTAGTGATTATATACAGGGTGTTCAGTAAGTTAGGAAACAGTTAAATTGTTACAATGAGTACAATAGAAATTCGTTTCCTTATTTACTGAACACCCTGTATAACACATATGATCTTGATTTTTTTCAGGAATATATGAAAGAAGGTATTGTTTTCAATTATAGCACAGTCTTTACGTTAAAATTACATAATTATATATTAAATAACGGTAATAACAAAATTAAAAAAAAAAAGAAGAAATATTTGTTGATGAGTTAACACCAAGACAAGGATACACAGAATAATTAAGTTGATCACTAAATTTCTCCCAAAATAATAATCATTTTGAACAAGAGATCAGGGATGGACTTAAAAAATATTTAATCGCTTAAAAAACATAAGATAAATAATACTCAACAAAACCAAAGAAAATATTATCTAAATTATTATAATAGGGGACATTTAGTGGTCAATGATAAATCAATACCTTATATACAAAGCGTTTCATCAGGTTCTGACATTTTAAATAACTTTTGATACAGCAAATAATTTGCTTTACTTTTTTTTTAATAACTTTTTTTTCAAACATATAAATAAATATTAACAAGCTCAGTGATGTACCATATTCTCATAGTTGATTAATTTTGGGAAAGAGTAAAATGCCGATTACATTAAAATAATTATTCCTAATTATCAAGGCCGTATTTGGGGGGGGGGTTGGGGGTTCACCCCCCCCCCCCCCCCCC